GAAGGAAGGAAGGAAGGAAGGAAGGATGTGGAAAGTAAAGGCCAAAGTGGTCCCAGTGGTGGTAGGAGCACTTGGAACTGTGACTCCTAAGCTGGGAGAGTGGCTCCAACAGATCCCAGGAACAGCATTAGAGCTCTCTGTCCAGAAGAGTGCAGTGCTAGGAACAGCTAGGATACTGTACAGAACCCTCAAACTCCTAGGCCTCTGGTAGAGGACCCAAGATTGAGGAAGACACATACCACCCTTAGAGGTGAGAGGGGAAATTTATTTATTTATTTATTCATCCATTGATTTAATTAAATAACTTTAAATCTAAATATTCTAGAAGACATTTCATATAGTGGGAAAGCTTATTTCCAAGGAATCTGTGCTTGTTCATTCTGCTAACTGTGGATGGATAATTTCAAGGTTTTAGTGCGCTTCTTTCTTATTGTAACAACAACAACAACAACATAGAATTTTACCCCATTTTTCCTTAAGAAGCTTAGGCAGCATGCATAAGCAGTTTCTTCTCCAATTTTTTCTCACAATAGCCGTGTGAGATAAGCTGGTCTTAGAGGGAGTGACTGTCTAAAGGTCATCTAATGAGCTTCTGTGATTGTCAGGAGATGTTATCTTGGGTGTCTAGGTTCTACTCCAGCACCTTAATTACATCATACTGAACAACTCTTCAAAGAAAGGAGCAAAGCTGAACTAGAGGACAGTTTTTACTAAGTATACTTGGCCATTTTATTTGCACATTTTACAAGCTGTTCCTATAATCTATATACTACTAAAACTCATTACATTTATCTGTTTGTACCCTCAAGTTAGCCCAAATGGATTCATTATACCGCAACAATTTTTGAATCAAGGTACCTAAAATCCGCTAACTTAAAGAATGAATAAAAAATCTGGGGTCCATTACTCCTGTGGAATTGAAATTTCCATGATGTTCAGACCAGTTTTGTTTGCAAAGTTGTGGCCGTTGCAGCATCCCCATGGGCACGTGATCATGATTTCTGACATTCCCTGCCAGCTACCCATAAGCAAAGTCAATGGGGAAGCCAGCAGGAAATTGGAAGTTGCTCCCACTCCCACTGCTTTTTTGGCCACCCGTAGTCATTCTGTTTATTTGCCTAGGTAAGTAAATATTGATTTATTGAAGTTTGTTTTCTATTACAATTATTTTTCTATTTATGATATATACTGTTCTTAGATGATCATGGGACTGTCCAGCATTGGGGTAAAAAAAATATGGTCAGCCTAAAAT